TCGGAGACGATGGGTGCTGCTGAAGCTACGAAGCTTGATGATCAATATAATGAAATGGAAAAGGTAGTATACTGCCTTTTCACAACTATTATAGTGCGTTTTCTAAGCAGATTATTTTCTTTAGCATATTGACATGACGTATGAACTTATCAGTGCTCTCATCGCAGACACGAATGAGTACCTTCAACCGAACCCAGGTGAGATTTTTCATTTTGGATTACTTGACTATCTCTTATCTGCAACATTGCCCTTCGTTCTGTTTCACTATGATTTCCATTTTAGCCACTCGTGCGAAAATGGCTACGATGGGAGCCATCTCCAAAGTCCGTGGAACGGTGAAAACAGCTCCTTATCCACAAACAGAGGGTATGTTGGCGGATACAATGTCAAAATATGGTAACGCACTTGGTGATATGAGCGATCTTGGAAAGGTAAGTTAGAAGTGCCACTACTTGTTATTTTTGCTATACAGATATACTTTGAGGCGCTTCTGGAAGCGGCAGAAGCATACCGTCATATGGCGGATATCAAATATCAAATGGAGGAAAATGTGAAGCACAACTTTATTGATCCTCTTACTCACCTCCAGAACAACGAGCTCAAAGATGTAAACGTGAGTATATGATAAATTTTGACTACTTTTTTTAATGCTTATTTACACTTTGTTCTTCTATTTTTGAAAGCGTTTTATATGTTCGTTATTACATTCAATGTTACAAGTTGGTATAATTATTTATTATTTTTTCTTTGATTTCGTCAGAGTACGAAGTACATTGTGACAATGATTTTCAACTCTGTGCTTTTTGGTATACCGCAATTGTTGATACTGCTTATTTTACTTGACGAAAGAAGTTCGCATTATTTCAGCATCATCGAACAAAGCTAAAGGGAAGACGTTTGGATTATGATTGCAAGAAGAGACAGCAACGAAGAGGTGGATCTTCATTGTCGTTCCCAATCCACCACACCGTTTACATATGCATTTGTTAAACAAACTGGCAATTTCAGATGATGAGCTCATCCAGGCTGAAGAGAAGCTCGAGGAATCAAAAAGGCTGGCTGAAATGGCTATGTTTAATGTGCTTAGCAATGACGTAAGTCATGATTACCCGATTTTCTTACATCTCTCTTGAGTTTATGCTGCAGGTTGAACAAGTATCACAGCTTCGCGCTTTAGTGGATGCGCAGTTGGA